AGCAGAGAGGAAGGGAGAGGTGGTGGCGGCGGCTGCTGCGGGTGTGGGGGTGGGGCTGGGACGGAGGGGCGGGGCTTCTGCGCACGCGCCGCGGCGGGGGGGCGGGCCCAGGCCGCCCGGGACCCATGGGGGAGGGGAAGGCCGGCTCGCGGGCGGCTCTTGGTGGAATCGGGTGGGACGGCCCCTTCTCCCACACACCCCGCCCCACCTCCGCCCGGAAAAGCGTTAACCCGTCACCGCGGCGGTGGGCGGTGCGCAGGGCTTCCGGGTTCCTGGACGCCAACCACCACCCACGTGCGCCGCCACGGGCGCCTCTGCCCGTCCCGGCCGCCCTGTCCCGGGACGCCGGGCGGGAGCGGGCCGGCGGGATCCCCTCCTGGCCCCGCTTCCGAAACGTGCGTGAAAGGAGGCTGGGGGGGGCTCCCCCTTTTCCTACCCGGACCGCACTACGAGTCCCAGCGGGCAGCGCCGCCGCGCGTCGGCCGCGGAACCGGTGCTTGCCGGGAGCTGGAGTCCCCAACGGCCGCGGCGCTCGCTGACCCCAACTGGCCGCTCGCTCAGGGACCCCAACCGTCCGGGCGTCGGGCCCGCGTCGCCGCCCCGCGGGGCTTCCCCGGGGGTGGGGGGATGGTGGGGGGGATGGTGGGGGAGGGGGGATCTTTGGGCTCTTTAAGCTCCGGGCTCGGAACCCTACACGCCCCCGGCTCCCCGCTGGACGCTGTCACTGGCGAAAGTGACTTTAATTGGGGCAAGCTGCGGAGGGTCGGCCCCGCTGCCCCGTGTGGGGTCTGAGTGCCGCTAAGGAGCCCTTAGGGGTCGTTCACTCGTGCTGTTGCTGCGAGAAATTTCTTCGCGATAGAAAACTCAAGAAACATGAGTGTTTTCCCCTACGGTGGAAGTCCGTCACAGTCGTGCATGGCACCACACATCTGCAACCAGGCAAAATTAGCATCAAACAATGCATTTTTATAAACGTTTAAAACTATTTGGTACATGAGTTGTGGGATTTCATAGGAATGCTAACTTTCGTGACTTGATAGCCACAAAAATAGCAGTTAATGGAAATGATATTAAGTCAACATACAAATTCTCACTTTAAAGTGGTAATGCACTTAACCGGTTTTTTAAAGCACTTGCATAAACATCCTATCATTTGTTCCTGACAGCAATCTTGTGTGGGAGGTGGAGCAAGTAGTAATAATTTTATTTTACTGTTAAGGGAACGGTCTCAAGTTAAATGATTGCCCAATTCATTTTTCAATTCAGTAAACTTCAATGCATGCCAGCTATATTGTCAGGTGTAGGCTAGACACTTGACTCTTAATTAAAATTTAAACCAGCAGAATCCTGCTTATGTGCCATTTTGCCCCGTCTTGGTGGGAAGAGGATAATATTTTTGAAAAACTTGTTTCTCTCGTGTGTTTTATCAGGCAAAAGAGTAAAACTTAGGACGATGCATTTTGAAAACACATCTATTTCTAAATGATAAATCACCAATCTATTAAATTTCTGTGGTTAAAATCAATCCATCAATACATTTATTGAACGCCTACCAAGTGGTGAGTAGTGTATCGGTAAGTTAAGATAGATGACAGACAAAAAATTCTGATCTCAAGAGGCTTATGATGAGCTCTCTCTGGTAATCATATAAATATAAGCATTAACGTTAGTGCAATAAACATCCAATGCCAGCATTTTATATGACTATGACAGTTTTCTATTAGATTCTAATTTTTTTTTTTAAGAGGGTGGGAATTCCATTATTGCACTCAAAAAAGAAAACATGACTTTATTTTAGTGTTTTCATTAAATTACTGAACAGGGACAATATGAAAAACCAAACAGGTATAATAAAAGAGGTGTACTCAGAAGAAAAGGGTGAAGGGAGGTCACCTCCAATAACTTGGAAATTAGATTGTACCAAGAGTAAAAACTACCAAAAATCACATACTAAGATTATCTATCCAGGGGTTTTCTCACATACTTCTGGTAGAGGAAGATGAAGATACAGTTTCTGGTAGACCTCATAAAACTTAATTGTAAGTAACAAAGATGGGGAAAATGGCCTGCATGGAGCCTGGAAATTTTTGTCAGAGATCAAGACTTTGGCAAGCTCTATCTAGTGTTTCTCTAGTGGGTTTAAGTATGCAAGTCACTAGCAAGGTCTTACTCAGATTTCACTAGAGCCTGGATTAAATTACTCTCAAAAGACTTCTCTTTGTTTATAGATTCATTTTGAACAAGCAGTGTACCAGTTGAAAAGTCCAATTAATCGTTGACCCTCCAGAGGAGGGTCAACACCTTAACAATGGAAATGGATGCCCTGGATGGTAGAAGTAGTCTAGTCAATGGAAAATGTATGTCAGTTCTTTATAGACTAATAAATACTTTGAGATGGAAACCGGTTATCAGGACTTCTATGTAGCTGTGCTTCTTGGTATTCAATGGATGCCATTGTCATATTTCAGGGAAATACAATTGTCAAAGTCCACCCTGAGGGAAGGGAGCTGGTAGAATCAAGAGAGGAAGTCATAGCCCATCCCAGGAGGAAACAGGGGCACGATCTGGAATGAAAACCAAGAACTTACTCCTTTGATGTATCAATCACCTCTTCCTCATTATCTCTGGCCAGCCCTTTTCTCAGATTAGAAACCTCTTTCTGATCAAAAGTCAAAACACACCTTCCTCTCTACCTCATTCTCTTTTCAGTCAGGCTTTTTATTTCTAATTCTTGTCTCCCCGTGATTCCTCAGTGCACTACAACCTAACACCTCCACCACCACTCACTCTGCCTTGTCAACAGCTGCTTCAGATTCATTTTAATCAACATCCAACATCCATAGAATCAGACCATTTTCTTCCCTCTCACTCTTCTGTAAGGCACTCTCTCGGTTTCTGGGCTGCAACTGTCCTGGGTCTTCCCAACTCTCAGACAATTTCTGTTCTCCAGTTATCATCCTTCTCTGACTAGATTGGGCTGGGTACCCTTTCTTTGGGCTTTACCCCAGCCACCCCTCTGCCACTACATTTACCACATTATTAAAATAAAATAGCCTCCTTATGAGCTGTCTCCCAAAATAAGTGGTAAGCTTCAAAAGCGAGCTGTGTCATGTTTATCTGTGTTCTGACCACTGAACACGAGGCCTGGCACATTGAGGTGCTTTTCTTTTTTTAAAATCTAACCTCAGGGGCAAGGCCAGCCTCATTTAGGAATTGCCCACGCAGGATGGTGGTTCATACCTGATGTTCACAAGGGCACAAGGGCTGGCTGTTCGGCACTATTTCCAAACTCCACAAACTACTGGAGGGAGTATTTCCTAACATACTGGCGAAGGGCTTATTTCCATGACTGAGCTTGGAGATAGAAGATATTTAGTATCCAAAGTCAAGCAGGACAAACAAGGACAACTGGATAAAAGGAGTTTCTGGACTTTCAGATCTGAGGCACAGTACAGTGGTAATACCATTAATGTTGTGTCACCCTTCAGGGACTAGCAGACAAACCCCTTCTTTGACCTTCACAATATGACTGCTTCTGAGAGAGGTAATTAAGGCTACAAATAAAAGGTAGAAGAGAGAATATTGGTCAATTCCTTTTGCCTCTTTGATTCACTACTTTCATTTTTCTCTCCATCATTTCTTTTTGGTCTTAAAAAATTTGCTGTCTATGTTTATCTGGCTTGCCTGTGTATATCTAATTTTAGATTGCAAGCTGTGGGACAGAATAATGTCTTTATATGTATACCATCTCACTGTGGGTGCCTTAGAATGTCTAATAACATCAACAGCATTCAATTAATCTGTTTCTATCTTAGCAAATGAAATGTAAAGTTCTCCAGAGAACTTGTTTACTTGAACATCACTAGAGATTTATAAATAACGGAGGTTATATCCAGGATATATCCAGAATATTTTCAAACTAATTTATAGTATTTCATGTAATGTATGACAAATTAAAGGTAGCCTGATACGATCTTTTGGTAATACTAATATTTAAATATTTGAAATGAATAATATGAGAACACAAATGGAGAGAGATATATATACATATTATATATATATATATATGAAGAGAGTACATTTATACATGTATATATATTCTACTGAAGTAATCAATTTTCTGTAGATCCCTGAAATAGGAAAAATATTAAACTATAAGACCAAAATATACAATGTTTAAGATTAACTCTGCTTTATTGGCCTGTGGGGTTGGTGAGGAATCTAATACCTACTCAAATTTGAAAACTGTCATGCCCACAATCAGAAAGATTTCCTAAAATAGGAGTCGTATCCTGGTTTTATATTTTCTTTCCTAAGTATTACATGTTTTCCCCATACTAACCAAGACAGATTTATAGGAGTTTGAAATTGCTTCTGACACTGTGTGTCAGATGATGTAATGTGACATTAGTTTTGAGACTATGGCTTCCAAGAAGACACAGATCTTGTAACAGAGTCGTAACACAGACTCATAAAGCAGAGATAACATTGGAAGAAAGAGGTAATTAGTGGCTTCATTGCAGTAGAAAGTAAGAAACTTAAGAGAAATCTCAATACTTAGGTTTCTTACAAAGTGTTCTTTTAGTAGCTAGCCATCCATGTTAGACCAGTGTGTTTGTAATGACTGTCTAATATAACAGGGATACTGCTGTGTGACAGGCATACCAATAACTATGGAATAGGATTATTGTGAAGAAGATACTATATGTAAACTGAAATTGCATCACATACAGTGCTGCTATTTATTAACTCACATCTCTAAATATAACCACATATCAATTTGTATGATACTAAATTCAAATTCATGGCAGAAGTATAACAAAGACACACACACACAGTCACACCAGAAATGTAACTGTCACTCTTTTAAACTAATTTGAAGACCAGAAAAATTCAATGGGTATATTGGGACAATGTTAGATATTAGATTGATGGCAACCACAAAAAATAACTAATTGGTCAGTTGCCTACCTATCCATTATGTGGAGAGGGGTGGATGTGAGAACTCTGAAATGAAATATATTCTAGAACCATGGTTTCTAAGGCACAAAAACCCAACTATTTAAGTTAAAGTCTAAAGACTGACAAAAATACATTTCAAGTAAATTGAAGATATTTTGTTAATATTAAGAACTGACCTCTCTTGAGTGTTTAAATGCCTCCTCACAACGAAACTATCAGGTATGAAATTACAGTATTGTTAATGAGGGAACTAAGTCTGAAAGAAGTAGAATCACTTTGATTGAAAGAGGTAATTCAGAGCCTCCCTGGTGGCGCAAGGGTTTAAGACACAACCTATGAAGCTATCCACAGCCTCTGCAGCACCAGTTCAATCCCTGGCTGGCCAGGGAGCAACCCACATGGTGCAGCAGACCTCTCCTGACTTGCCCGCTGTTCTCCTCAAAAGTGTATTTTAGTCAATCTGCCTGTTCTGTTCCCTGTTCTGTCTCTGGTGAATCCTCTCACCCCCCACACCTCTGGCCTGTACCCCAGCTCTTATATACGTAAATAAATAAATCTTTAAAAAAAAAAAAAGAGGCAATGCAAGGTCAAAGAATGAGGCCTTTGATCTGGGAATTAAGGGAGGGCAATATTAGAAGCAATGAGAGGAAAGGGCATTGTATGGTGGAGGAAATAACACCAGAAATGGCAGGGAGGTGGGAATATGCAAGATATGTTGAGGATATGACAAAATCCCATGACTGAACCATGGTAGAGAGCAAGGGTGAGAGAGAGGAGCAAAGCACAATGAGAAGGGAGCATGAGATCTAATCTTATTACCTGATGGTTTATGGGAAGTCAGTTCTGGTAGCCATGAAAAAGTGCTGGGTTTGAAAGAGGAGAGACAAAGGCAGACCAATTAAGATATTCTTGGAATGACCCCACTTTCATCTTCCTGAAAGTAAGGTCAAAGAAAACAAGTTCTTACTGTCTAATGAAAAGAAGCACACCAACTTGTTCAGTAAGATAGACTTTTTTTCCCGTAGTAAATCTGCAAAAGTATTGTGTAGCTCTTTGTATAAAGGTCATTGAATCACAGAATTCATTCACTTATTCACTACAGAGCAAATGTTTATTTAGGCCTATGGGGTATGCTGTTAAGGCACTGCATATAAAATATTAAAATCAGCAAAGTCTCTACTCTCATGGAGGTTACTTTCTAAAAAAAACTGTGCAATTGTCTTATACATTTATAAAATTTGTATTACAAATTCAAAAATTTGAATTAATGAAAAATGTAGGAAAAATTTCATGTGGACATTTTTCTTTTGTCAATTCTTAATAGTGGCTAATTATAATCCAGGAAAAGTATTTCCGTGAAGAGCTGAATTTGACATAAAGTTTACCAAAGTGTAGAACCTGGTGGTGTTGTACCATTTAGACAACATATCTTAAAAACCAGTGGGCTTTTTAGAAAAGGTAGATTGGTGATACTTTCAAATTGAGGTCTCTGGTAAGTGACTAAAAGACAACTATTCTGGGTTTGGTGATTGAAAAGAGATATAGAGGGCCTCCCTGGTGGCGCAAGGGGTTAGGCACAGCACTATGAAGCAATCCGCAGCCTCTGTATTGAATGATATTTTAAGAACCTTTGAATTCTGCAAATACAGAAATGTATAAGAGAATCTCTACCTTGAGATATGTATAACATTAACACAATTGAATGCACTCGTGTGTGTGTGTGTGTGTGTGTGTGTGTGTGTGTGTGTTACTCTTAGTGAATGGACTGCAAAGTTCTCCAACAAACTTAACTACTTGAACTTTCTCAGAGATTTATAGTTTTCAAGTTACTGGTCTCTAGGGAATTGAGAACAGACTAACTTATACTTCACTGTCTAAGATAAATCAGAGTTGATGGTATGTGGCTATTTAACTCTACCATTAAGAAACCTATTTGATGTGAATAATGAGGGAATATTATAACTCCTGATCAAGGAGTTGTACTTTCAGAGACCCCTATCATTGTGAGACGTTACATGAAGGAAGAATAAGCTAGTGGACCAGCAAATGTGAATGCCAACAGTCACAGAGCAACACAGTATGGGGAATAGGAGTAGGGTGAACCGGTGCTTGGGGCTGGGAGCCTGAGGAGACATCAGATTGAATTTCCTTAATTTAGTAATAACCACATTTAGTGAGTCCTTTTTTTTTTTAAGATTTATTTATTTATGCATACAAGAGCTGGGGTACAGGCCAGAGATGTGGGGGGTGATAGGATTCACCAGAGACAGAGTGGGGAGCAGAACAGGCAGACTGACTAAAATAGCTGAGGGGAGCAGCGGGCGAGACAGGAGAGGTCTGCTGCACCATGTGGGTTGCTCCCTGGCCAGCTGGGGATCGAACTCATGCTGCAGAGACTGCGAATTGCTCCATAGTGCAGTGCTTAACCCCTTGTGCCACCAGGGAGGCCCCTAGTGAGTCCTTTTCTCAATACACAGCTCAGAGCACAAAGTGAGTCCAGAGAACGTCAGCGCACAGGTAGGTGGCAGGTCCAGGTTCACTAGCCATATGCTCAATGATGATGCCACCACCTCTGTGTTAGGCACTGACAGAGTACCTGGAGAGCTCTCCTTGAATAAAATGAAGAAAATCAGTTCTGGTTCTGTGTTATTAAATATTAGGCAACTCCTATAACTGTGGCTCATTGTATTTTTTTCTTCCATGAAACCAAGCAGGTATGAAGAACTTCCTTCTGTACGTTTTTCTTTCGGCTTTGTCACAGATTGATTAAGAAAACATATTTATGCTAAGTGGTGAATAACTGCCTATGTCCTTACAAGTGTACCTGTGACTGAAGTGACAAGAACTATATATATAAGTATCTGTCCAGTGTGTGTCGGACCTGGAAATCTACAGTTGTGTAATCTAGAGTTGAAGCCCACTTTAATAGGTTAGAATTATTTTAGGTTTACCCACCAATACTATTTCCTTTTCATTAATAATTTTGGAACATCGACCAAAAAAATCTATTTTTGAAAGATAATGTGAAGATAGCCGATCTGCCATTTAAATTTTGATAAATAATTTGCATTGGAAAAATAAAATTTCATCTCTCAAGAGGAGAGAGTGAAGGCCGCTACATCCAAGAACTCAATGTCCATTGTCTGCCCACAGATGCCCTCACGTAAACAAGACAAGAGACCCAAACACACACTTGTAAGTATAGAAGGACACAAAATGAAGACTTACTGTGAATGGCAAAATAATTGGTCTTGTCATGCTTCTTGAGATGCATTCGAAGAGAAAAGCACAGAAAAATTCAAATATTATGAATAGTTCTACTGTTAACATTTGTATTACTATATTATTCTTTTATCATTAGATAAAAGAAATAAGTGAATATGCTAACTTTGTTAAGGATCCAACATTATTATTTAGAGTGATAATTGAATGTTTCCTGGAATTGTAAAAAAATGGAAATAAACCTGTAATTTGGTTAAATAAAAAATTACAGTGGGCACTCTAATGTGAGAACTAAGTCAGAAATATTAATATAAACTATGAATACTTAATAAAATTTGTTTTTTCTATCTCTGTCCAGTGAAATGGCCAAGGAACACTATTGCTCCATCATCACGGGCCTTGTGATTGGTATACATTCCTCGTGCCTAAATTCCAGGTCTGCTATTAGTTTTTTCCTGAAAGAAACCAACATGTTTTGGAAATATAACTGATACATGTCTGGGTCTGGGAAGGTACAAGAAAGTCTTGAAACATTTTCTGGGGTAAGAAAGCAAGAATGCTTTAAAAAATAATGGGAGGTGGAGTGAGAGGATTCAAAATGCCCAGCCGGAGGATGGGGTGGGAGAGGGGAAGCAGAAAAGCACAGAGACTATGTTGACAGCTCACAGGTGATGGAGGTGGGAGATTTATGGGGACTGCACCTGAGGGGAGAAATCAAATATTGTACAAAAATGAGCAATGTAAGAAAATAAAGTTTAGGGCCTCCCTTGAGATGCAATGGGTTAAGCACCGCACTATGAAGCAATTCACAGCCTCTGCAGCACGAGTTTGATCCTTTCCTGTCTCACCCACTGCTCCCCTCAGCAGTGTATTTTGGTCAGTCTGCCTGTTCTGTTCCCCCCTCTGTCTCTGGTGGATCCTCACACACACACACACACACACACACCCCGCATCTCTGGCTTGTACCCTAGCTCTGTATGCATAAATAAATAAATCTTTTAAAAAATAATAAAATTAAAAAGTTTAATAAGAAATAATGGTGTTGCATGGAAGGACACAGAAGTCAGTTTAAAGAGTTTAAAGTCAGTTTATGAGCTCAATTCTGTCCAGTTGAGTATTAAAAGAAAAGTGATAACTATGGTTAGTTAAAATGTGTGAATTTGTGAAAAGCTGAGTTCATAATAATAGCAAAAATGAGAAAAGTTGACAAATTGTACTAAAGAAGCTGAATCTAATTGAATCTCATTACTCACCCTGTTATCACGTTAGTACAATTGACTCGTTTATGGAAGCAGTGCAGAGTATCAAATTCAGTACATTTGTTAGTTTTGCTTAATGTAAGTTTATACTTAGAAAATAATTCCTAACACTTAGGCTATATTTGTCAGTGTCTGTACTAATGAAAACTGAATTTTTGTAGTGAAAAAAATTGTTCTGGCCAGCCTTAGAAAGGTAATGCTGGGCATTTTGATGGCATCTCAAAGTGCCAGTCTAGTGAGTCACTTTGGAAAAATAGCAATGCAATTATATTTGAAATATTGCTCACCTGGGTCTCTATATATTGATCAGTTAAAATTTAAGAGTTACTTCATAACCCTGGTGATACTGTTTAAGTCTGTAGTAGGCTGTCTGATAAAACTTCCCATGATAGAAATGTTCTATGTCTGTGCTGGCCAGTATAGTATGGTAGCCATTCATCCCATGCAGCTAGTGGTTAATGAGCCCTTGAAACATGGCCAGTATAACCAAGAAACTGAATTTTAAATTTAATATTATTTAAAATTTTAATGTAAACATACACATGTCTTGTAACTACTGTGTTGGACAACATAACCGCAGATTTTCAACCTCCTTTTTATTTATATGAGTAACTCTAGGTTTACCCAGCAATGCAAATCCCTTCTCAGCAATTCTGGAACATTGTTTGTTTCCTTTAAGATAAGGATCTATGTTGGAAAAAATTAGGATTTAAAAGTTTTGGAATAAGGACTACAAGCCCATTGTTTTAAACATTAATAACTTATACAGGAAGAATTCTCTCCCACTCCATTTCCCCCAGCATCCATATTTCTTCACCTTAAGCACACCCAGTGTTATCAGTTTCTTCTGTGTTCCAGAGATCTTTTATACACACACAAGCAGTCAGCGATAGCATGCCATTGCCGTGCATGCAATTTTTTCCTCCTAACAAATTTTAGGTATCACTCCACTCTAGTACATGAAGAATTTCCTTCCTTATGATTGCATAGTCTTTGGAATCTATTTTAAAGGACACCTGAAGGTGGCCATCTTGACAGCTGATGAGATTGCACTTGGAATGTGAAGAATCCTAATTTCAAGAGACTGTAAAGATAGCAGCTCGCAGACTCCATGGTGGCCCCCACTCAGCATCCTGTCGCATGCAGGAGGCCCACATTCCAAAATGCCTAGTCCTTTTTTTCTTTTAAACTTATATTTTAAACCAAATCATGCTAAGCTTTGTGAAATGAATCTATATTATTATCACATTATGATTTTTTCAAAGAACAATTTTAACTTCAAAAATAGGTGAGCCTCTTTTGGTAATTTTTCTTATTTTACACAATTATTTAACAGATTGTTGAACTTTACGATACCCTTATTAAAACTGGAGGGCTAAATTATTATTTTTTTTTGGTTTGGATGTATTCTGTGAATATTCATGTATTTTGTCAAACTACAAAGTCAATTGAAAACAAATCCATGGTTTCATATCACATAGTTGTATTAGTTTCCTGTGACTGCTGTGACAAATTGTCACAAAATAAGTGGCTTAAAGCAAAAAAATTTATTCCCTGGTAATTCTGGAGGCCAGATATCTGAAATCAAGGCCTTGCCCCTGAGCTGTGCTCCCCAGAGAATACATCCCCCTCCTTTTCTAGCATCCAGTAGCTGCTGGCATGCCTCGCTGCTCTTCGCTTTCTAGCCACACCACTCCAATCTGTTCATCATTTCCTCTTCTGTTTGTGTCCTTATCAAATCTCCCTCTGTACCCCTCTTTTTATAAGCATACCTATGATGACAGATGGGGCCCACCTGGACAATCTAGAGAAACTTCTCTCAAGAGTTTTAAGGTTACCCCACCTTTTATTATATAAGGTAATATATATAGTGGTAGGATCAGGAAGTGAGTATGTCTTTGGAGAGCCATTTTCTCCCTATTACAATAATAAAAGGAATAATCTAACAGCTATTTAAATTTATATTTATCAAGCTCTATAAATGTTTGCAGTTTTTTAAGCATGAATGTTATTATGTCTGCCAAATAAGAACTTCTCCAAACTGATTTTTTCAAGCATTAAATATGTTTAGGGCTTTTTTTCTCCCGCTACCATTCCTTATACTCCATTGAAACTTTCTTCCTCCTCTCTCCCTTTTAACCTCATAGACTCACTTTGTTTACTAATGTCCACAAGTATTTTGCTTTGTCAATCACCCACTGTGCAAATATCCAATATTTTTCTTTGTCACTCTTACTTGCTTCGCTATTCATAATTCCCTTGAATTCCTTCCATTTTGCTGTTAATAGCAGAATTTCATCTTTCCCTATAGCTAACTTGTATTCTATTGTGAGGATATACCTTATCTTCTTGATCCAATTAGCTATCACTGGTGTGAACTCCTTTAGTAGCTTCTGATTGCACATAAAGTAAAATCCAAACTTTTCACCAAAGCCACCAGGTTTTGCATGATCTGGCTCTATACTTCTCCTTAATCACAAGTTTCCAATCATATAAGCCTCTTAAGACAGACAGCTCTCTCCTGCTCTCTCTTCTCTCAGTCTGGCATGCTTTTTTCCCCCTGGTTTTTCCTGCATCATTCTACTTCATCCTGCAGTCTCATCTTAAATGTTGAATCCTCATTGATCTTTCCTAAATATGTCATCTATACAGTATATGCTCATCCCACTCCCATACTACTATTTTCTTCATAGCACTTATGATAATTTGTAATTATTTTGTTGACTTACAGGTTATCTCTCTCTCATTGGAATGTAATATCCCTGAGAAGAGAATAGACACTGTCTCACTGATATGTCTTTAGGAGCTAAAACATTGCTTGGCATACAGCTGGTGTACAATGAATATATTTGCTCATCCAAAAAATGTTGAGTGAACAAATACTAAATACATTTCAAATATAGCACCAGAAACCTAAGAGAATTTGAACAAGTGCCATACCTTTCAAATAGCCCATTATAATTGAATAAAAATAGTAAATTTCTCTAAGAGGATTACTATTTTTATGAGAGGTTTTTGTTTCCATTAACATCTATCTGGAGTCCTGTTTACTTTTTTTGTAAATCAAAGACACTCAGTATATTGACTCACTGAAGCTCCTCGATCTGCTGGGATCTTCCATCTCTGCAGTGATGGTACTTAGCCTATAATGGTATGTGCTCTTCATCCTTCTGAGTCATGAAGTCAACATGTATTGGTCATAATGTCAACATTTATTGGCCTAGTGCTTATCTTGCCATTACCAAGATACATTTATATGGTGCTTTAAAGTGTGTAAAATGTTTTTATTGATGTCAATTTATTTGATCTTCACAACCCTCTCTGCCCTCTAAGACATGTTAGGGCTATTTTATTGGTGAGGTTGCTGGAATTCAGGAAAGATTAAATTTTGCTTAAGACAACATGGCTGGTAAAGGAGCTAGTTAAGTATACTCACTTCTTCCAATTCCAACTTCAAGTCCAAATCTTTGGCTTTTTCAGTCATATCACAGCTACTCCCAACACTATATTTGAATACAACTTGGTAGTTGACAAAGCACTTCCACAGAAACTATCTCATTTTTTTTTTTTTTTTTTTTTTGTGGGACCCTCGCTGGCAGCCGGGGAATGAACCAGCGCTGCAGAGGCTGCAGGCAGCCTCACAGCCCAGCGCTCAACCGCTGCGCCACCAGGGGAGGCCCAGAAACTATCTCATTTGATCCTCAGTACAACCCTTGTGGTTGACTAGGCTGGTAAAATTCCTTCCCTAAAGAATTCAAATTGTCTCTTTAAGGAAACAATAGATATGCAAAACTGAGTACACTGCTACAGAGTAATATAAACATTAGAGATTAATTATGAAAATGTATATAGATGTCAAAGAGATTGTGAGTTGTATAGCCAAATAAGATCTATCAGAACTTCTAGAAGAAGTGAGTGCAGTTTTTATAAGGAGAGGAGAAACCTGATTCAAGGACTCAAAAATAAGAGGGATGCAAGCCTCAGGACAGAGGTCATGGTCTGTGCAGAAATGTACCTGAAGGCCTGAGTCCTGTTGAACAGTGGCCAGCAAGTCAGCTTGACAAAACAGAGGGTTCCGTCAAGAAAAAAATGAAAGCTGAGAACCTAGGTTGAGTACTTCTAGTTAATAGGAGAAATTAGATGCCAAAGGGAGCTTGAATTCTATTTGACAGACATT